GCACAGGAGTGGTGGCTGAAACTGTGAAATCAGAACAAATCTCCTTGGGCAAAGCTGGAGTGGTGGGGACGTGGATGTCCACATGGTGTCCCTGCTCAGGACAAAAGGCGGTGGATGGAGCTGGTATATCCACGTGGCTTCTATGCTCAGGCAAAGGAGTGGTGGCTGGAACTTGGATTTCTGGGTGGCCTTGATCAGGGAAAGCTGTAAGAGCCGGCACCTGGAGGTGTGGAGGGACTTCTTGCTTGGGCAAAGGTGTGGCAGCTGGAGCCTGGATGTGCCGGGAACCTCCTTGCTCAGGCAAAAGGGTAGCAACTGAAACGCGGATGCCCGGATGGTCTTGCTTAGGTGAACTGGAAACCTGCAGAACCTGGCCATGCGGGCTGCCTCCCTGCTTCGACAAAGGCGTGGCAGCCTGAACCCAGGCAGCAGGGCCCAGGGGGACAGACTCCTGGGCACACGTCAGCGGGAAGGCCAGCTCACACACCAGCACATGTCCAAAGGCGGGCAGGGGCCCTGAATGCAAAAAGAGGATTGAGTCAGGACCACTACCCCAGCTGGGACCACCTCTGCCAACCACGTACCCAAACCTCACCTGGCTCCACCTGCTCCTGGGGCAGGCAGGGGGATGGCTGGGGTTGGGCCAGAACCCGAGGCCGGCGGCGGGGGGCATTGGCTGATGCCCGAGTCTCCGCCCGCTGCATCTGCTGGATCCGTTCGCTGTAAAGCCGGGCCAGCTCTCGCACTCGCGATGCTGTCCTTTCCGAACTCGGGGCTCCTGCCTTCCCGCCGTCTCCACCCAGATCTGAATCTTCCAGGATCAGAAGTGGCTCTGGGAAGCCTGGCCGGGCCAGCTGCCCCTGCTCCAATGCCTGCCAGGCGCTCCGGATTTCTGAGCAAGAGCGGAATGCCAGCTCATCTGGGAATCCCTGATGTTGGGTGACATCCTGGGGCTGGAAGTCTGGGAATGATACCCCTTCTTCATCCTCCTCTGGCCCTGCCTTGCATCCTGAGGGGGGCTCTCCCAGTTTCCCAGGATTGCTTCCATGGAACAGTCCTCTTCTGGTGGCTGGAGCCTCAGTTGGTTCCTGCAGAGGCCCCTGGAGCCAGGAGTCACAGGGGAGGGCGGGAGTGCTGGAAAGACTGGGGCTGTCGGGGACACTAGGTATGGCTGGAAGGCAGGGCATCTCAAAAACACTGGGAATGTCAGACAGACTAGGAAGGCAGGGACCTTCGGGAATTTCACAGCGGCTGGGAATTTCAGGGAGGTTGGGCACGTCAGGAATTTTGGTAAGGCAGGGAATGTTGGGCATTTCAGCTGCGCTGGAACTTTCGAGCCCTTCCAGGACGTGGAGTGGGGAAGTCCCCCGTTCATCCATCTCCAGCCCTTCCTCCTCCTCCTCTTCTGAAGAGTCCCGGCTGGGCAGGGCTTGGAATGTGAGGCTTTCGCTGTCACCAGGCACCTGGGAGTCTCCGGGGAACTTGGGAATATCATGGGCTGATGGCTATAGTGGGCACAGAGGAGGCCAAATATATCAGCACGGTGGCCGGGCGCAGTGGCTCACGCCTATAATCTTAGCAGTTTGGGAGGCTGAGGCAGCCAGATCACCTGAGGTCAGGAGTTCGAGACCAGTCTGACCAAGATGGAGAAACCCGGTCTCTACTAAAAATACAAAAATTAGCTGGGTGTGGTGGCGGGTGCCTGTAGTCCCAGCTACTTGGGAGGCTGAGGCAAGAGAATCGCTTGAACCTGGGAGACAGAGGTTGCAGTGAGCTGAGATTATGCCACTGCACTCCAGCCTGGGCAACAGAGCAAAACTCCATCTCAAATTAAAAAAAAAAAAAGGTATCAGCATGGGCTGGCCTACCTGGTCCCTGGTCTGTGCACCCAAACCCAGAGGCCCAAGGGCACCACGAATGGGATAGCCAGCTCACCCCTGGATCTCGAAGGCCTCTCTGATTCAGCAGGTCCAGGATTTCTTCAGTGATTGAGGTCCCACAGGGGTCCAGTGCTGGGGGCCCAGCATCCTCCAGGTCCTCAGGGGGTCCAGAGCCTGAAACTGGTGGCTGAGATTCTGAGGGGTAGAGCTCCCCTTCGCTGCCAGCGTGCTGGGAGGGAAAGCAATGGAAGGCAAGGGCTGAGACTCCTCCCTCACATGGAGGAACCCAAGCCCCAATCTCCTTCTTTTTTTTTTTTATTTTGAGATGGAGTCTTGCTCTGTGGCCCAGGCTGGAGTGCAGTGGCGCAATCTCAGCTCACTGCAACTTCTGCCTCCTAGATTCAAGCAATTCTCTGCCTCAGCCTCCAGAGTAGCTGGGATTACAGGTGCCCACTACCATGCCTGGCTAATTTTTAGTAGAGACGAGGTTTCACCATCTTGGTCAGGCTGGTCTTCAACTTCTGACCTCATGATCCACCCACCTTGGACCCCCAAACTTCTGGGATTACAGGGGTGACCCACCGCACCCCAGGTCCCAATCCCCTTCTCTCGTGTGTGTGTGTGTGTGTGTGAGAGAGAGAGAGAGAGAGAGAGAGACTAAAGAGAGAGAGAGAGAGAGACTAAGTCTTGCTCTGTCACCCAGCCTGGAGTGCAGTGGCACCATCTCTGTTTACTGCAACTTCTGTCTCCCGTGCAGCAGATTTTCCTGCCTCAGCCTCCCGAGTAACTGGGATTACAGGCACCTGCTACAATATGCAGCTAGTTTTTGTATTTTTAGTAGAGATGGGGTTTCTCCATGTTGGCCAGGCTGGTTGCAAACTCCTGACCTCAAGTGATCCGCCTGCCTCGGGGCCTCCCAAGTGCTGGGATTACAGGCCTGAGCCACTGTGCCTGGCCATTTTTTTGTACTTTTTATAGAGATGGGGTTTTGCCATGTTGCCCAGGCTGGTCTCAAAGTCCTGGGCTCAAGCAATCCTCCTGCCTTGACCTCCCAAAGTAATGAGATCACAGGCATGAGCTACTGTCTGGCCCCAGTCCCCTTCTCATTCAGACCCAGGATTTTGGACCTCAAGTTCCCTTCTCTATCAGACCCTGAAGTCAAGATGCCCAGACCCTATTTCAAGTTATCTCTTACCTTGAATCCAGGCTTAGCTGAGGATGGAGAGATGAGAGAGAGAAAAGCATTAGTGAGATGGTAAGGGAAAAAGAGTGATCCCCCGTAACTGATGAGGTGAAACGACCACCCTTCCCCCACCCACCCCAGGTATCCCGCCAGGAGACAGACAGGGATGGAGCGGGCTGAGCCGGGGCAGTCACTGACCGTTCTGTGGGAACATGACATAAGCATCCTTCACCGGCTCTGCGGGGAGGACACAGTGATGTCAGGAGTCCAGCTCCCACCCTGATGCCTGGATCACCTTTAGGGGTGAGTGCTCACCAGACTGCCTGCGGCCTCGGCGAATCACAGAGGGCCCAGGAGATGAAGCTGTGGGAGGGAGGGCCAGAGCCCTGTGTGAGCCCAGCTCTGAGGTCCTAGGGAAGTGGGGGCTAAGGGCCGGGACTTGGGGATCCACGTCTTTTACCTGTATTCCTTCGTCCAGGGGTGAAACTTCTAGCATCTCGAGGTCGAGGAGACCCAAGTGGGGGTGTCAGGGGCTCTGGGGAAGGCTTACTTTTGGGGGCACCTGTGAGGAGAGTTTTGGGGCTAACAGCCAACTTTTTCTTGCAAGTAATTCCTCTACTTCCACACCCTCCCAACCCAAGGCCCCAACTCACAGTGTAGGCTGTTTTCAAGGAGAACTTGCTTTGCCTGAAAGACAGGAAGATGAGGGCTGAGATGGGTTGGTCACCACAGGGAAGATGCTTTAAGCACCGTATCATGTCCATTAATGGGTG